TGAACCCTATATATTTTTATTTGTGCTTGCCGGGAAGTGCTGAAGGAAACTTGATACCAGAAGCTTCTTGGGTGGGAGTGAGGGTTAAGAAGACTGCTAATGAGAATGAGCATCCAGGAAGATCACAGTGGAGCGTGCACCTCTGAAGGAAGCATTAATCACTTCTATTCCAACCCTCAACCCCAGGCAGGTTTCCTTCTAGCAATCCCATGCTGTGTTTCTCAACCTCCTCTCAGATGCTTGCAGCGGCGGAGGCCTAGAAGCTTCTTGGGTGGGAGTGAGGGTTAAGAAGACTGCTAATGAGAATGAGCATCCAGGAAGATCACAGTGGAGCGTGCACCTCTGAAGGAAGCATTAATCACTTCTATTCCAACCCTCAACCCCAGGCAGGTTTCCTTCTAGCAATCCCATGCTGTGTTTCTCAACCTCCTCTCAGATGCTTGCAGCGGCGGAGGCCTCTACCCCCAGCACAGTCTGTTGTTGGACAGCTCCCATTTTATAATGCTGTAAATATTGAGCAAAATCTGCATTTTGGGTGCATTTCATCAGCTAGTTCAGCTATATCCTCTGTCACATCCCCATACGGGATATCCGCTGTTTTGTGTAGAACTGTACCCCATGTGTGTACCCCCACATGTGTCTCTCCATGCAGAGAATCATGTCTACTGGGGAAATTTTGACCAAGAAGCTGTATTTCCTTAGTCTTTACTTACCGACTTATCAAACAAAGTAATATTAATAGCTGTTATTGCAGTGATTACATCCGATGTGCCAGGCACCATACTCGGCGCTTTCTATATGTTCTCATTTAAACCTCCGACAACCCTGTGGAGTTGGTATTATTATCTTTCCTTAGGGAAAACCGAAGCTAAGAGAGGTTAAGTAATTTGCTCAAGAGAGGTTAAGTAATTAGCTAATTTGATCATTTAGCTAGTAAATTTATGGACCTGGAGTTTGAACTCAGGTGTGCCCACCCCAGTTTATAACTCAAGGCTCAGACAAAGCAAAAGAAAAAAAAAATCATAGAATCAGAGGGAAAAAATAAAGTAGCTGATTGCTTTCTGTGTCCTCCAGGGATATGCATCTGAAAGTACCCTGCTGCTCAGAAATGCCTTTCATGGGATATTTGAGAGGGGGTGAAGAAGTGCCCAGCGCTTTACTGGCTTCGGAGTGGAGGCCTGGAGTGCCTGGTATGGGTGGGGGGTGGAAGGAGGTTCCAACAGCCCGCGTACTCTGTCAGATGCCCCTCGGGGCCCTGAGCATGACAGAGATCACCTTTCCCGCCGCCTGTGCAGGCTTGAGCGTCAGCCATCTTCAGAAGAAAAGTAAAGCTTTGAGTTTTTTAATCTTGGAAAACAAATGTTGGGAAGTAAATTAGGCTATGATATAGTTTAGTGGGTTTTTTAATTTACTTTTATATTGACATATAATCATATCTAGTAAAAAAAAATGCACTCAGTTCAGGCTGCTATAACGGGAATACCGTCGATGAGTGGCTCAAACAGCTTTAATTTATTACCTGGAGATGGGAAGTCCAAAATCCAGGTAGCAGCAGACCCGGTGTCCAGTGGGTGCCCACTTCCTGGTGTGCAGAAAGCCTTGTTAAGTGTACACATACTTAGTTTCATGCATTTTGACCAGTGTGTACATCCGTGTAGTCAACAGCCCAAGCCACACGTAGGGCATTTCCATCACCTAGAAAGTTCTCTCACCCCTTTCTGGTCAATCGCTTCTCTCACCAGAAGTAAACCACGGTTGGCTCTATTCTTCATCCCCAGATGGGAGACGGGGGTACAGAGCGGGGCTTTAGTACCCGGGCTGGAACCGAGATGCACCCACCAAGGAGAGTCAGCCCCTCCTAACATTCAGCACCTTGCTCGCTCTGCCCTGTTTGATAGGTGTTCCTGTTCCAAAGACACTGGAGTGGTTTACGCACACACAGGAAGTGACATGGCCTGGCCCCTGGTTGGCTAAATCCAACTCACATACTTGGGGATTTGCCGAACATTGACTTCAGTGAACATCACGCTCCCAAATCAGTTATAGTTTCTTCCCTGCACAAGCCATTCCTGCCCCGTAACATTTAGAAACCTTTAGTAACCACTATAAGGGAACCCTGCGCCAGGTTCAGGCAGAGTTTACTGTGACATGTGACAGCACATCGGTGCCAACTGCCGAGCCTGCTCTTCCTCATATTCTGAGCCTCCCCACGTGCAGACATTAGCTTACCAAACAAACCATTATTCAGCCTGCTGGGGGAGTGGGTGTTCTGATTCCTCGCAAATCCTTGCTTTGAGCGGGTCCTCCAGTTACATTCTTCGTGTATCCTTGTTATTAGGGGCTGCTATCATTATGAAGCTTGCTTTGTAAAGTTTAGAATAACTCATCTATACAAAAACATACTTAACGAGAAACCTAAACTGAACATAATTCAATTTTCCCTTGGTGGCTCCAGAGGGAGTTGAGACTTTTGCAGCCCTCCAAAAGTATCATTACAGTTCCTATTTAATTCAGGTAAGGTTTCTAATTAGCCAACTAATAGAAAATTTCACTTAATAGAATATTGGATGTGGTCTTCAGATATTTGCATGGTTTGTGTTCAAGAATTTTACAATTCTGGGTAGGAAAATTACACTCAGAACTAAGCTTTGAAGTGAAGCCTTATTTAAAACCAGTTATGGTTTATAATAGAATTCAGCTCCCAGGATCCACCATTGTAAGTAGAGGTTAAGGACATGGGCTTTGGAACATGACCTACCTGGATGCAGATCAGGGCTCAGTTACCCTGTGTGGCTTTGAGCAAGCTACTTACCACCCTGAGCCTCAATTCCCTCATCTGTGAAATGGGGCTGAGAATTGCCCATAACCATATGTTCATTGTGTGGATTAAATGAGAATGCACGTGGAGAGCTTCGCAAAGCCTGGCATTCTGTAAGCGGCAGCATTTCAAAACAAAGTCAGCGATAACTTTGCAGTCTCACCAACCAAATGAGACCAAGTTAGGGACCTATATTTTGGTCATATATTCTCGGACACACTTAAAAAGATCCTGTTTTCATCGAAGGTGTCTCATAGAGGTTCTGAGGACAGTGGAGGTGGCCAGTCAGTGGCCAGGGCTCTGAGCCCCCAACTGGCACCCACACAGGGCAGTTCTGCTTTGGTCTACATCACATACTAGTTCCTGTCATGGCTTTTTTCTTTTTTGGACTCTACTTGAAAAGTTAGGAAACCACTGATTTAATCCAACCCCCTCCTTTTATAGATGAAGAAACTGGTTTTCCCACACACTCAGCAGAGGTCTCTCGTCCCCCAGGCCTAGACCCCACCCTGCTAGAGATGGAGGCAACTGACAGTAGAAGAAGATGACATTGAATCAGCCACTGAGTTTTCACATGGTTCTTTCTGCCAGTTTCTAGTACTAAAAATGTCTCTACAGAAAGAAAATCATCCGTTTTGCCCCTACCCCATGGCTCAGTGGGTAAAAGTCCTGGTTTGTGTGTGGACACTCATAGGTAGCAAGAGTCTCTATAAAAAAGATATGAACCCAGACGTGCTTTTCCCTCTTCGGCTGGGGGACCACTGCTGCCTCTAGTGACCTTTGCTCCATCCTGTGGCCACTGGCCACACCTCTCTCCATGGCCAGCATCTTCAGACACAGTCATGGGGTCCCCAGTGAGAGCACGCAGATGACATCGGGTTTCCATCCTTTCTATCGGCGAAACGTCTCCCACCAGGACTCAGGCCGGCGTCCAGTCAGCGCCCAGCCACTTACTTTGTATTCCTGTATTGCAGCCTCTCAACATCGCCTACAGCCACATCTACAGCTCCTACAGGAACTTCGTGGGGCCCCCTCACTTCAAGACCATCTGCAGACTCCTGGGTTACCAGGGCATTGCCGTGGTCATGGAGGAGCTGCTGAAGATAGTCAAGAGCTTGGTAAGGAAGGGCCTCGCAGCGGCCTGGGATGACTCCAGTGGGCTTGAGGGGAACAAGATCTGCTGTCACTTTTTACCTGGCCCGGGAAATCAAGTCACAGCCCTATCTATAGGAATCGCCAGAGAATCCTTTGCCTTTATCCCTTGGTTCCTGTTACCTGTCACTCTGTTACATTTCCGTGCTGCTTCTGACTACTTCTGGCTGTGCCTCTTGTTTTCTGACCCTGAGCTCACTCCTTGTACTTGGTGACTGAACTCAGCAATCCTGACCAATCCCCCTTAGGGCCTAGTAATGACTGCTGGTACTCCCCGCCTGTGCAGTGCTATTAGAGTAAGACAAACTCATGACCCATGTGCTACCATGTTCCCCTCCCATACCCATTGCAGACATCTCTGATTAATCACCACACCTCTTCCCCTTGGGATTTCTCACTAACCACTTCTACTAATACTGCACTGGCCTCAAGGGAATTCTGTAACCCTTTACCACCATTCTGTCTCCGCCGCAAATATGGTCATCTGAACCTTCATTTAATTCCCCACCATACTGCTGAAACAAGGCTGAAACACTTAAAACAAGATTTTCCTGAAAATTTGAAATAACAAAAGAACAATAATGTATAACTGTAGCAGGCATGGCAAACAGGACTCACCTGCTGACTTAAGTCCCCTGGTAGCAGCTTCTTCGTAGAGCCATGGATGGTTATGGATTACGAAGCTAAATCCAGAGTTAAACAGGAAAAATGTGGTAATTGGTTAAAGATTTATCCCTTGGACAGGGATAAATGTGCTATGTATTTTCCATGCTTAAATTAGATAATGTGTCTCGGTCTCCACAGCTCCCGGCCCCATTTTATTTTAGCTCTTAGTCTGGATCTCATTGAAGTTCCCCAACCCCAGGAAGGACACCGTGCCTAGAAACTGCCCTCCTTAAAGTCTGTAAGCCCCGGCGGGTAATGCGAGAGCTCCCTTTGCCGTCTCCTAAAGGCCCATCGTCCCTTTCAAAGGGCAAAGGGGCTGTCCCCCACTTTGAGGGGAGAGCCTGCTCTCAGGGAGAGTGCCTTACTGTCTTAGCCCAGGCTGGTATAGCAAATACCTCACAGACTGGGTGGCCTAAACCACAAATGATTACTTCTCATAGTTCTGGAGGCTGGAAATTCGAGAGAGAGTGCCAGCGTGGTCGGGTTCTGGTGGGGGCCCCCTCCAAGTTCACGGACGGCTGCCTTCTCGCTGTGTCCTCACACGGCAGAGAAAGCGCCTCTGTCACGTCTTTTATAAGGGCCCTAATCCCATTCGTGAGGGTTCCACACTCACGACTGATCACCTCCCAAAGGCCCCACCTCCTAATACCACTCCCATTCGTGAGGGTTCTACCCTCATGACCGATCACCTCCCAAAGGCCCCCACCTCCTAATACCATCACATTAGGGAGTGGGGGTTCCACAAGTAAGTTTGGGACACATTCAGTTCACAGCACTTACCCACAGGTCTCAGTAGAACCACCCCTCCCACCCCCCCGCCGCCCCGTACACTCCAGTAGCCCGGCATTCAGCCCAGAGACACACATATGCGGCAACGGTGGATTATTTCGTCTGTGCTCCTCTCTTGTCAGCTCCAAGGAACCATTCTCCAGTATGTGAAAACACTGATCGAAGTGATGCCCAAGATATGCCGCTTGCCCCGGCATGAGTATGGCTCCCCAGGTTGGTGATGGGGAACCAGAGACAGGGGGCGGTGACAGGAAAATAACCCAAGCCCATCCCTTAGTGGAAGGGCTCCGGCCATCTGCCTCGGGTTGTTTGCTCCTCTGACGTGCCAGTGAGCTGGCAGAGCTCTGGGTTTGCATCTTCCCTCTGCGGCTGACTAGGTAGCTTTGAACCATTTTTAATCCCTCTGAGCCACAGTGTCCTCTCTGTCAGCAAAAGTAAATGATGCTTGCAAGGCCTGCCTCACAGGGCTGCTGGGAAGCTGGAAGAGGACCTCAAGTGTGAGAGCTAAAAAATAAATAGCAAGGTTTACTCGTAAAGGTCTTCATTAGCTCAGCCTTCTAGGATTCCTTCTTCCATTTGCCCAGTTGGGAGGCTGGTGCCCCAGGTGGCATTTCTAAAGTGAGTCAGGAAACAGCCTCTGGGTAGAAGAATGATTCTTTCCTTCCCTTGGAGTGAATGGAGCTAGGACTGAATTTGGGGCCCTAGGGAATACAGAAAGATAGAGACCAAGAGTTTGGCACCTGGTATTTTTTCTAAAAATAAAGATGCCAGGTACTGACTGGGTCAATGTGATTCAAAATAAGAAAGGGTTGGGGCCAAAAGCTCTGATTTTCAGTGTCAGCTGCCCGTCTTACTTACTAACTGTGTGACTCTGGCATGACACTTACCCTCTCTGAGCCTCATCCAAAAACGAGGGTAATAGTGCCTAGTTCCTAGGGGTGTTCTGAGTTTTAAATGAGATATTGCAGATAATATCTAACCCCTATAAATAAATACTAATTCCTGCCATTACCAAGAATTCAAGTATTTTTGGAGAGGGACTGGGAAAGACCCAGGGCTCCTCAATTCATGTGTGTTTTGTTTTCTTACCAAAAAGATCTGAGCCAGCCTCCTGAGCTTCCTCTCCTACGGAGCCCGGAAAGGTTTGGCTTTTTGCTGTCCCAGGGTCGTGTCTGGGGCTGCTGCTCCGCTGGCACTTCCCATACACCCTGCTGACCGTGCCCCTTCGCCCCCAGGCATCCTGGAGTTCTTCCACCACCAGCTGAAGGACATCATCGAGTACGCGGAGCTCAAGACAGACGTGTTCCAGAGCCTGAGGGAAGTGGGCAACGCCATCCTGTTCTGCCTGCTCATAGAGCAGGCCCTGGTGAGTCCTAAACCCAGAGGGGTTGGAGCATCCCAGGCCAGAAAAGACCCCACCCCAACCAGACACCTGAGGGCCCTCTACCACGGCTGCCCAGGGGAGTCTGTAGCACAGATTCAGGCTCGTCCAGTGCAGGCCTCGGTCTCCTCTCCATTCCACTTCAGACAGCTCCACGCACAGGCCCCAGCTCCACCGTCACTCACCGCAAGACCTTGGCCACCCGTCAGAGTGTTAGTTTCCCATTCACTCGTTAAACAAATAGCGACTCCTTGGCTGCCACAAGGCAGGTGCTGCGCTCAGAGATGCAGCAGTAGCCAGTCCCCTGCCTTGTGGCCCGCCCAGGAGCGAGGAGGTTTTGAACAAGTGTTCACACAGAAATGATCCGTTTGCAATTACAGCAAGAGCCACAAGGGGCGAGTGCAGGGTCCAATGGGAACATGAAACCAACCGAGACCCTGGTGTGGCCTTGGGGGTGAGGGAGGACTTCCTCGATGAGGAGGGGACCTGCGGAATGACCAGGAACTTGCCTGGTGGAGAGCTGGGACAAGTGTTCCAGGCTGCGGGTAGAACGCGCAGTGTGGTCTTCAGTGTGTCATGATGGGAGACAGTGATTCTACCCTGCAGGGAAGGTAAAGGCTGGAAGGAAGGCATGCATGTAAGGTGCATACAGTAAGAACTTAATAATTGGTTGTAGTTACCATAATGAGCAAAAGCACGCCTCCCTATGCTTCCACCTCCCGGGACCACACAGAACCAGCCCACTCTTTTTCCCACCTGACCCCCAGCCCTGGAGGGTGATCACGGAGGCTGCATTCTCCACATTCTTTCCAGGGCAAGTCAGTTGATCTCTGCTCTTCTCCATGGGTGGTGTTCACAGGTGGGTCCAGCCCTACCTGTATTGGGTAACGGACACCCTTGGAGCAGTGGAAGGAGATGGGGAGCGATGTTGCTCTGGGGGTGCATAATCCTCAGGAGGCAGTAGGGGTGTCGGTGTCCATTCCCACGCTCATCT